TGACATCCTATTGAACCTGAGGATGGCAAAGATAGCAGGAAGATCAAATCTATTTGGGTTTCTGTTAGTGGTTGTAAGGGGAGAAGGCTTTTAGTTGGAATTTGTTATGGTCCATGAAAAAGTTGAAATTTAGATTAAGATTTAAAATGTTAATGAAGGATTTTAATTTCAAACATATAGACTGGGAAATATAAAAGTTAAACCATGATGAAGACAGGTTTTAGAAACCATTCGGGGTGAATTTCTTCCTCAATTGGTCAGGGAACCAACTATGAACAAAGCTGTTTTAGATTTATTGTTAACTTCTAATACAGAAATGATTGAGAGGGTGGAGATTGGGGAATATCTGGTCATTGCTGTAACAGGTTTGATGTTTTATTCCATGTGAATATCAGGAATAATGGCATTTTGATTATAAATTTCAAAAAAGTAAATTTTCAACTGATGTAACAAGAATCATCTGTTGTGACTTGGGCAACAGAATTAATCAGAGATGTTGATCAATTATGAATAGTTTTTAAAAACAAACTTTTACATATTCAAGGTAGGCTTGATCCTTAGAGAAAAAAAAAGGTGGTTGCAAGTATAAAAAAAAAGATTAGCTCACAAAGAGTTAAGGGACAAAATCAAAGAAAAGCATTATAAATGTAAGAAGTTTAAATTCATTAATATGACAGGAGACTTAGATCAAGAGAGTTTGTCAAACAGGAGATAAGGAAATCAAAAATGTATATGAAAAAGGTTGACTGATAAGGTAAATTTCAACAGTAAGGATTTTTCTTTAAATATATTAAGAGTAAGCAAAGTGTTAAGATGGCAAAGGTCCTTAGACCAACAATAAAGAAAGGCTCATTATTCATAATTATAAGGTGGTTGGGTTACTAAATTCTACTTTTTTTCAGTTTTTACTAATGAATATTCCTCATCCTGAACAGTTACTAAAAGGAAATTAGATCAAACAAGATGATTACATTAATTCTAAGCTTTTTAAGAAAAGATTGGAAGATTTAAAGAATGATACGGCTCTCGGGCCAGATAATATTTACAAAATTATGTAGATGAGGGTAAGGTGTGGATCTGTATTTTCAGAAAGTTTCTTATAAGATCCACATGAAAGGCTTGTTAAAAAATAATATATGTATATAGGTGGTGAGGTGGGGGATAAGTTAATTCATTGGATAGAAAAATAGCTGGGCAGAAGAAAGCAGAAGGTTGTTAAAATATAAATGACGTTTTCAAAATGGAATACTATCACAAGTGGGATACCTCAAGGGGCAGTGTTCAGATCTTTGCTCTTTTGATTTACATCAATGGTATAGATAGAAGAATGGTCAACAAATTTCTTAAAATTGCTGATGATAGTAAGGTCATAGGTGTTGCCAACTATGAGGAAGATGCTGCTGCTTTACAAAAGGTTGCTTGCTTATTGAGTTGGGCAAATAAATGGCATTTAACTACAATTATTGCAAGGTAATGCATTTGGGTTATCATAATTTAAATTGTAAATATAGTTTATAATGGAAATTTGTTATGGGAGAAAAGGATCTCAATGTTCTGGTTGATTAGTTTCTTAAGCCATCCAAGCTAGTTTTAAAACAAATAGGAGTTTAGTTTTATCCACAGAAATATTGAATACAAGTTTATATAGGTTATAATTTCATTGTATAGGTCACTGGTTAAGCCTCATTTGGAGTATTTTGTTCCATCTTGGACTCCTTACCTTAGGAAGGACATTTATTGTAAAAGGTTAAGATGAAGGCTTCATACTGCAAAATGTGATAATACCCAAGATGGAAAAAAGGTAGTCATACCACTACCAGGACAGGTTAAAATCTTCGAAATTATCTTTTGAAAGGAGAAAAAATATAGGGGATCTAACTGAGGTGTTTAAGACTGTTCATGTTACGGGAATTGATAGTGCCAATGTATCATCTTTTTTCACATTTATTGGTGAGATAGGTAAGACAAGGGTGCAAAAGTATAAATTTTGACAAGTAGGAGTCATCATCTTCAGCTAAGAATTTTATTTTCCTAAGAGCAAATTAAAGGAGTTTAAGGGAAGGTTTGATAAATATTTAAATGGTAAGAGTTGGCTTTGTGTTGTTTTTTTCTTTTTACTTTTAGTGTAGTGGATAGGTTAGCCTAGATGGCCCATCGGGTCCCTCGTTGTCCTTAAATTTTGTATGTTATTATTATTATTATTAAACATTCAAATTCCTCGATGCCGTCAAATTTCGTGTTACCGCTCCCTTTCCTCGTGAGAGTCAGTGAAATTATGCAACAGTGTATTTTTGGGGTTTCATAAAACTGTGTACATTTTACGACTCAGTCTCATTGGGTCTCACTCAGTGAGAGTGAGGTAGGCACTCCAAAAATATGTCTATATGTACATCGCGATCAAATTCAAATGTAAGGCTATCATATTAATAGTATCACTATCATTAACATTACTACAAGTACCAGCACTATTGCTGTAGCATTACTACGTATATAATTTATAACTAGTTTATGCGGATTGAGCTTTGAACTTCAAGCTTAAGTTTATTGAACAATCATAATTCACATGCACATTTCACTTTAAATGTTAAATCTACTCCCTCTGAATTATATAAAAAGCGTGTTGTATTTACATTCCTTCCCTTCGATCGCCTTCCACCACTCAACTTCAAAACAACTATTCTACTTAGCAATTTTTCTTGACGTATTTCAATACCTACTGTTTACAGGGTACGAGAACAACCTCCTGTATGCTACCTCGATGATGTAGTTACACTTTCAAACGAAAAATTTTCAATTCGACAAACCCAATTTATACCTTAAAACCATTTACTTAATATTCTTAGTTAACGCTACTACTTTTTTACTTGTAAATGATTTATGTAAAATTCGTGTTCACTTGTTTATATAATTAAAGTCTCTTCTTATTTGAAATTTCCGTGCTTGGCTTGTTGTTCAAAAATAAAACAAATTATTATTTTTAAAGAGATTGTTACAAACAGTATTTCATCTTTCTATTTAAAACTGGCTTAACTGATAACTTAATAACATGCAAGGTTGTTGTAAACTTTCATTAGTTAGGAATTATAAAAAAATAGTTTTGTAAATCATGTAATCAGCTATTATAAAAATCACAGCATATATGTATAGCCTCTTTACTTAGGCCCGGCATGGCCAGGTGGTTAGGGCGCTCGAATCGCAATATGTGGGCTAAAGCGGAGAGCCTGCAAGAGCTGGCACAGGACTTGGAAAGTATGGCACACAAAGCCTACCCACCCGATCTCCTCAAGTTGTTGCTGAGGGATCAGTTTTTAGATGCCTTGGACAGTCCACAACTGAAAATACAAGTGAAGCAAGCACATCCCTCTACTATGCAGGATGCAATGGCCAGAGCTCTTGAATTTGAATCCTACGTTAAGTCTAGCACATAGATACCATTCTTTAATGTATTTAATTCGCTTTGAAATTTGTACTTCTTGCCAGTGTTGTTGACTTTCGTGTAGTTGCTGCTGACTTTCTTGCAAATGTTGGAAACTTTCTTTCTGTTTCCTTTCTTGTTCCAGTTGCCACTGCTGTAATCTCTCTTCTTGTTTCTTTTCTCGTATTCCTTGTTTCTTTTATTTTTCCTCCAAGAACTGCTGTAATGTCTCTTCTTGTTTCTTTTCTCGTTCTTCTTGTATCTTTTCTTTTCCTCCATCAACTGCAGTAATTTCTCTTCTTGTTTCTTTTCTTTTTCTTCCAACAACTGCTGTAATATCTGTTATTGTTTATTTTACTGTTCGAGCTGCCACTGTTGCAGGTTTTCTTGCAACTGCTGTTGTCTCTGTTCTCGTTTCTTTTCTTTTTCCTCCAACAACTGCTGTAATCCTTCTTCTTGTTTCTTTTCTTTTTCCTCCAACAACTGCTGTAATCTCTCTTCTTGTTTCTTTTCTCGTTCTTCTTGTTTCTTTTGCTGTTCTTGTATTGCTGCCATTAAATCTGCTAAGTTGTAGTTTGATTTCCCACTTTTCGTTTCCATCTACTTATTTTTTTTCTTTTCAGTCCCACTCTCTGACACCAATTTGTTACATATCTGCTTGTTTGTTAATTTCCAGTATAAATTATTTCCGAGGAACTTCAGTGATACAAGTCCTTTCTTAATTAAAACTAGTTTATTTTTTCTTGATATAACTTTTTAGTACACAGAATTTCCACAGTCACTTTAAACTTAATAACCTTTTATAAACACACGCTATTCACACACTTTACTTACCGTGCCTTCTGTTCGCTTGACTCAATTATCTATTTATATCTCTTCAATCTATCTGCCTATATCTATCTCTTCAATCGCGCTGTTTTTTCTCGCCAGACTTATATACTAAAAAAGAGGGCACCTCCAACAAACTAGAGTTGCCAGGAAAATTCATGATCCTTCGAGAAAATCCAGCGTGCATGGTCCCAGCGTCGCGTGACTTCCGTTGTAACAATATTTATTTGTACGATTCATAGATACAATTAATACAGTTACAGACATCAGTAGTTATACAAATAATTAATATGTACACAGGTGGGAAATAATATTATTTATATCTACTCTGTCGTCATATCCTGATGTCTCCCTGAAGCAGATAAAGTCTCTAGTAGCACTGGCTCTTGGGCGAGTCTGGGGCTTTTTATATCGAAGAAATCTTGGTAAAGATTGTATTTATAACAAATTTGACTGATGGAATTTCCAGAAGGAGATTTACTGCCATTTATAGCCATTCTATAGCATAATCTGACTAGCTCGTTTTCAGACAAACGGCAGGAGTTCATAAACTTCACAAAATGCTTGTACATTTGAAATTTTACGAGATGATCATCCACAGTTCTAGGTAACAAGTCACAGTGAGTATCATATGACACCATGAGAATGTGACGAATGCATTTCCGCCATGCGCAATAAAACTTTCGATTGTCTTATGATAAAAATCTCAAATATTAGATCCATATGAACACATACAATATGTTTTTAACAGATTGTATCGCACATCATATGAACAATGTGAGAATTTAGATAGTAACGAAGTACATCTTTGGTATAATTCATTTACGCTTTTCTGAACGGAATTTACTCTGTAATTACAGCCGATGTAATGACCAAGGTGTACTGCTGATTCGCTTAATGGAACCATCATGCCACAGAACAATATAGGTTGTTCTACATTATCATTACTAACTGATGTAGGACACCTAAATTTGCCCCCCAGTAGCACAGCGGTATGTCTGCGGACTTACAACGCTAGAATCCGGGTTTCGATACCCGTGGTGGGCAGAGCACAGATAGCCCATTGTGTAGCTTTGTGCTTAATTACAAACAAACACCTAAATTTCAGAAACTGGCATTTCGCTGGATTGAACTTAATTTTAAGGTCCTTGCCTATTTGTTCGGCAATTTCCAACATATTCAATATCCCAGTAAATCCAATATTATAAGCATCAAAACCATAGCTACTTTCATTTAATCATTAAACTGACTTAAGTATTTTCTAGGTAAAGTCATATATAACCTCAATGGTGTTCTTTATTCCCTCTGCATATCCTGTATAAGCCTTTGTGGAGTAACTATCCTCCAGATACGAGTACAGAAGGTTCAATGGCACTTTAAGTGCTCTCTCAAATATCATTGATAATGGTGTTTTACCTGTAACTCCATGTACAGCTATTTGACAACTAATACATAGCAGTGGAAGATCTCTATCTAGCATTTTCTGATGTTCATCCACAGAAATGGTTAATTAGTTATACAGTGTATAGTTGTATCTCTCCACCTTTCGGTTAGAAAATGAATGAAGAGCTGTTATCCTGGTCTTTTTTATTCAAATTATCTTATACATTTCAGCAAACAAGGATGATTTAAAGTTCTATCCCTGATCTGAGTAAAGTTTCATAGATATGCCAAATCTTGAAATATATTCATTGATAAGTTTTGCTATAGTTTTTGCTCCCTGGTTAGAAACAGCATGTTTTTCTGGCCATTTGGTGAAATAGTCCATCACAACCATAATGTACTTATACCCACAATTACTCTGTGGAAGAGGATCAAGCACATTCACAGCAACTCTTTCTCAAGTGGTGCTCCCACACTATTAGATATACAAGACTGTTTAGTATAGGGATTATTATTTAATTTATTATGTGAGTTAATATTTAATGATTCTTTAGTTTTTCATAACAAAAGAGTTAAAAGTTAATCATTTTAAAGGCAATAGTTGTGAAAAATTTAGTTAGGTAACTCTTTGAGAGTCATACATTGTATTTGCAATTGCATTGTTGTCTAGGCTTTAATAATACTGTTGACGTTACGTTACTCGAATCTTCGGTATTTTTCTCATTATCTTAACTAAGTATTATTAAATCATCATGTAGTTTAGAGAAAATTCAAGGCCTGAGTTCGGCAATGTATAAATAGTCGAACAAGCGAGTACAAGCTAAAAACTAAAAAAATAAAGTCAAGTCAAGTGCAGTTCAGTCAGAAAATTAGTTAGTGAAAGAAAACGTGAAGTTAGCCAGCGTGTGAGTAATTAGCCATAATAGGCGATATTTTAAAGTGAGTTTCACAGTTTAATAGACATAAGGAGAATAATTTGTCTTCTCAAAGGGTGTTCTAAAGTAATTTAAACCTGTCTGTGAGGACTTTGACGAAAAAGAGACAATTATTTGAAGTTCGGGATACAACTATGGTAACTCATATGATAGCATAAGTGAATTATTCTCCCATACTATTGTGATAAGAGTTGATAAAAATAGTTCGCCTTGTCAATTGGATTCTAAAGTAATTTAATCAGCCTAAGTGGATTTTTGACAAGAACAGAGAATTATTTAGAGTTTGAGATATATATCTGAGATATCCATATTGTAAAGAATTTTTGTAGATAGTTTAACTTGTTTTAAATATATTATTTTAAAACAAGTAGACTCGAATTTATTGCCAATAAGTCACAGACACCTACTGTAGAAGAATCCTTAGCCCACTCATACGTAAAACCCTGACAAGCACAATACTGCTGCAGCTACTCATGATGTTTCCTTTATGTATTTTTCACTCACAGCATAGTTCACACATTTCACACAAGTTACCTACAGATATCCAGCACCCAATACAATAGAAGCATTCTCTTCATGCTTTAGTGTATTATTAAAACTTTAGTGTCCAGTTGTTGGAAGCTTGTACAGGTGACAAAGTGCTTCAAAATGGAGAGACTGTAGAAGTACCAACTGTAGTCATTCTTTCTTTGTACTGGTATCTTCCCATTTCCAACATAACAAGTGCTCTTGTAGGTATAATGAATCCCACTGTTCCTAGTACATCTTTCTCCTTTGTCTGTATAGAGTGACTAATTGCCAGGGCAGCTTTCCTGCTCTATTCTTGATCCACTGAGTAATTGATTTCAAAATTGTATCTTTTGTCTGAGCGTCTTTCAGTTGAGTATTGGACATATATGTTCTTCATTATCATTTGTGTATATCACATCTTATATTATACTTTGTTGTACCTCAGGTTGGTCATCTTTACTATCTTGTTCTTCTTTCTATTCACAGTTTTTACATTCTTCATTAACACATGGACTTTGGGATAATGCATTAGCATTTCCATCACTTTGTCCAGGGGGATGCACAATGCTATAGTTATTCTCCTGAACTTTCTAGAACCATCCTGCTATCTGACCACCTGGATTGCAAAAAATGCTTGTT